CCAGATCTTTTATCTCTGCATAAAATCAAACTGTTGACTTTTCAGTTAGTAGTCCAGTGCATAACCATTTGTTTCACCCAAGAATGCTATAGGAGGTTTCAAAGCCAGCAAGATTTGGTCCTTTACAGTGACTTATAGAAAACCAAACCTGTTGCCTCTGAGTCAGTTTCCACATGTAGTGACTATAGAGGTGCCCCATAGGGCTCCAAGGCTGCAGTCTTTATGGAACCAAGTGGCTATGTGTCTCTCTTGTGAGCAGCTAGTGGGCTTAAACCACTGATCTTTTAACTAGTAGGCGTGCACCTAACCACAGTGCCACTAGGGCTCTTAGCTTTAGTCTAGGTGATGTATAAAAAGTATTATGAGAGAAAAACAACAAAATAAACCCCAAACTCACTCTGCCACCAAGTTGATTCTGCGACCTTGTAAGACAGAGTATAACTGCCCTGTGGGTTTTACGAGGCTGTAAGTCCTTAATGGGAGCAGAAAGCCTCATCTTTCTCCCATTGACTGACTGGTGTGTTTGAGCCACTGGCCTTGCTGTTAGCTGTCCACTACCCAATCCACACCTCTTATTAAAAGAGGGATTTAAAAGAGGGAGCTATTATATCAATCGGGGGGCTTAAAGAATGACTATGAAAGTATAGAAGGACTTCAAAAAGGTTGTAGCCAAATTATCTTTTAATTCTATTTTTTTCCACAAACTCTTAGAAGGCTCTTCAAAGTATGGTATTTTGACCAGGGGTCCTCAAACTTTTTAAACAGGGGCCCAGTTAACCATCCCTCAGACCTGTTGGAGGGCTGGCCTGTAGTTTTAAAAAAAACGATGAACAAATTCCTGTGCACACTGCACATATCTTATTTTGAAGTAAAAAAACAAACGGGGCAAAAACACCTGATGGGTTAGATTAATGTCCTTGGCGGGCTGCAGTTTGAGGATGCCTGGTTTTGACAGTCAGAGATGGAATGATCAATGCCTGTGAGAAAATGTGCATACAATTCATTGCCTTTGAGTGAAAAGGCAGATCAGAGCCTTTTGTAGTGAGTGGACTTTGAATGCCAATTTTAATGTCCCCCCGTTAATGAATTGCATCTTTAAGAATTTGTAGGTGAATTGAAACAGGTGCATTAGGTTGTTGTTAGTGCAAAAAAAGACATCAAAACCTTTCCATTGGTACAAAAATTTGCACATGCATCAATTGCAGGTGACTATGACAGAGAATTACTTTTAAGTAGGGCTTATTTAGTTTTCATAGTGAATAAATTTATAAAACATTGAAGAGCAGCTAGGTCCTCACGTCGGGGGTTTGAGTTCTTTCTATGGGGGAAAGATTTACAGCCTAAACCCAAATCCTTTTGGAAACTCAAAAGGACCATTGTACTCTCTTCTGTCAACCTATAGGGTCTCTTTGAGTTGGAATTGGCTCCCTGGCAGTGAGTTTTTGGGTTTACGGGCAACTAGGCTAGTCAGAATTGTGGGACTGCTTGTAGTTTGTACTTCATTTGGTAATGGATAGCCATTGTAGACTTTAGCCATGTGAAATGTGAATGACTAAGCCTTTGGTTTAGGAAGAGTCCATTAGGACAATGATTTTCCCCCCCATAGTTGTAGGAAGAGTTAAAACAGTTGAAATACAGGGTTTGAACTAGAGTAATGGACTAGGGAATGGAGAGCTGGTGTTCAAATATTTGTATGGTGTTGAAATAAAGTTGGCAGAGTTTTATGACTAGGCAGACAGGAAGGAATCAAACTTGAAGTTTGAGTCTGGGCACAATCAAGTTGCTGGTGCCATTGGCAAATGTACAGGAGTAAGGGATGATGTGTATGTAGGGGTAGTTGCTAAGTTTTTTAAATGTTTGGATTTAGTAAATCTAGGATTAGGACTCCTGGTGGTATAGTGGTTACACATTGAACTGATAACTGCACAGTCAGCAGTTCAAAACCACCAGCTGCTTGTGGGGTTTTCTACTTCTGTAAAGAGTATGAAACACACAGGG